CAAAATTTCATTTTTCAAAGTTTCATTTTTCAAAGTTTCATTTTTCAATGTTTCATTTTTCAAAATTTCATTTTTCAAAGTTTCATTTTTCAAAGTTTCATTTTTCAATGTTTCATTTTTCAAAATTTCATTTTTCAAAGTTTCATTTTTCAAAGTTTCATTTTTCAATGTTTCATTTTTCAAAATTTCATTTTTCAAAGTTTCATTTTTCAAAGTTTCATTTTTCAATGTTTCATTTTTCAAAATTTCATTTTTCAAAGTTTCATTTTTCAAAGTTTCATTTTTCAATGTTTCATTTTTCAAAGCTTCATTTTTCAAAGTTTCATTTTTCAAAGTTTCATTTTTCAAAATTTCATTTTTCAAAGTTTCATTTTTCAAAGTTTCATTTTTCAATACCGAATGTCTTTTTCAATACGAATGTAAGGTGTCACTGATTTAACTCCATATATGCCTCCTTACCGCCTCCCTCTGGTCGTACTGAGAGATGAGGGTCTTGAGTTTCTCTGCCAGAGCACTGTTCTCCTGACACAGCTTGGTGTTACGACTGCTGTGTTCCTCGATCTGGGCTTGGATGTCACTGAGRGTCCCCTGGAAGTGGGTGGTGATCTCTTTCCTTTTCAGATCATCCTCTCTGCACCTCTGCAGGGTCTCCTCCTGCAGTTTATGGACGAAGAGTTTAGGTTTTATTTTGGTCTCAGTCCAGGATTTGAATCACATTTTATGATGTCCCACCAGTGAACACCAAAGCAGGAGAATAAAAATGTTTATACCAGCTGACCTTAAAAGCACCTAAAGATGTTATGACAGATACACATATACACATATACATATCACACTGTGTGCCTGAGACTGGTCAACAACACATATTCTGAGGGCTAACAGCTTCAACAAGTTTTTATTTAAAATGTCCTGTCTGTCAGTAAAATACGTCACTGGTCTGATTTTATGGAAAAGTTTAGTAAACAAATTAAAGGATACATTAATTTGTTGCATCAGCAACTGATTAACTTCTAAAGTCAGTCCAGTTAGAGAAGGTCTCCACAGATGGTTGGCCTCAGCAAATGGCTTCATGTGTTGTACACAATGTTCTACAGTACCTATGTTCTACAGTACCTATGTTCTACAGTACCTATGTTCTACATGTATGTACTGTATGTTCTACAGTACCTATGTTCTACAGTACCTATGTTCTACATGTATGTACACAATGTTCTACAGTACCTATACTCTACAGTAACTATATTCTACAGTATCTATGTTCTACAGTACCTATGTTCTACATGTATGTACTGTATGTTCTACAGTACCTATGTTCTACATGTATGTACTGTATGTTCTACAGTACCTATGTTCTACGTTAC